GAACTGTGGAATGTAGTCCAATCATCCTGGGCTGGAACACCTGTTCACAGGTGCCAGAAGTTGGTTGACACAAAGAAGGGTCACCCTCACTCTGCAGAGTAGGGGAATGTCTGCTGGTATTTGCACCCTTGTCTGGATCAAAGATGTCCTAGGTCTCTGTGTCCATTCTGCCATTTCCAGGGGCTGCAAAATGGAATTTCAATCCCTGCCAGTCCTCGATTCCTACCCTCCAATATGCCAGCTTCACCTCAAAGACAGACAGATTTGTGGACCCCCTGTATCAGTTCAGTCATAAGGAGTAGTATCCCAGTTCCTGCCAACAGCTTACTCAAACCTATTCACAGTCCCAAAATCGAATTGAGGCATTCACCCCATTTTGTACTTTTATTCTTAAACCTATATCTGCTTATCTTCAAATAACACATGGAGTCCGCAAGGTCTGTCATTACTACTTCAGGGGAATATCTGGCATCAGTGGACATCCAAGATGCCTATCTTTACATATTTCTTGCACACCAACACTTTGTTGTGGGAGACCAACACTTTCAGTTTGTCACCCTACCATTCAGGCTCTTTTCTGTATCAAGAGTCTTCACAAAAACGCTTGCTCCGCTCCTGGTCCTGCTAAGCTGTTAAGGCATCAGTGTCACATGCTACCTGGATGATGATCTGATTCCACAGATTGGATGTTCTGTTAGAGAATAGATGTAAGCTGGGTATACACGTACCTAAGGTCGGCTGGTTCAGCAGGAACCAGCCGACTTTCGTTATGTGTGTACTCCTCCCTGTTGAACAGAAGCAGGTCTAATGACCAGCTTCTGTTGAACGGCCCTGCTGGAAAACCAGCATTCAATCCGCATATGCAACTAATGTCAGAATACAATAGTGTAATGGGAGAGATCCCTGCTTCCACATTGCTTGAGTGGGGATCTGATAAAAAAAAAAAAAAAAATTAACTCGAGTGTATGCCCTGCTTTAATAAAAGCATGTAATGTCAAGCTGCAGTTTCTAAAGCTAGCAACATATTTTCTTTTATTAAAAGAATTATAGATTTCAGAGAACGTGACAATTGTGCCCCTCTACAAAGAATTAGTAAGACTTCATCTGGAATATGTAATTTAGTTTTGGGTATCAGTTTATACAATTCTCCGATATCCTTTTTGTAAAGTGCAGTGAAGGGAAACCAAACTGATAAGAGGCATGGATGAGCTCAGCTATGAGGAAGGATTAGAGGAACTGAATTTATTCTTTCTTGAGAAGAGGAGATTAAGGGAGGGTATGATCACAAGGACAAGGGGGCACTCCTTACATCTGGAGGGAGAGAGATTTAATCTCCACATATGGAAAGGCTTCTTCACAGTAAGAGCTGTCAGAATGTGGAATAGACTTCCTCCAGAACTAGTTCTGGCAAGTTCAGTAGATCATTTAAAAAAAGGGATGGATGTATTCCAAAATACACAAGATATAATTGGATAGTTAACATTTATAAGTAATAACACCAGAGATTGTTGACCCAGGGAATATTCAATTGCCTCCTGGGGATCAGGAAGGAATGTTTTTTTTCCCCCTGCTGGCACAAATTGGGCCATGCTTTTATTGGAGCTTTCTTCACGTGTGGGTATACCATTGTTGATATGGACGTTTTCTATTTTTTTTAATATTCATTGAACTAGATGGACTGAGTCTTTTTTTTTTTTTTTTTTTTTTTTTTTAACATACATGGCTACAGTCCTGTATTCCAATATCCAAAACCAATATAGTTCCTTCAAACTTTTAGATGGCTGATTCAAATCAAGAAGTATGCCCTTCAGTCCTCAAATTACCTGGAATATGTGGGGGTGACCGAACATTTCCCTTACCAGGAAAAAGTTGTTTTTCTGAGGTCCAGCTGCCAGACACTCTCAGGCCAACCAGGCCTCATATTGACCTCCCTTGATGTGGTTCCTTTTGCTCCACTCAAGATGCAGCTCAGCACTTTTACAATGTGGAATAAACAGATCAAATCTCTAAATCACTCACTACTGCTGTCCAGCCAGGTAAAAAACTCCCTGAGATGGTGGATTTCCAACTCAGCCTGAGAATCCAGGAAATAATTCCTTAACACACAGACTCTTTCAATATAGACGTGATGGTGTTCATATTTAAATACAAAGCTCTTCCAGCACAAGGGGATTTTTTTTGTTGATTTAAATTTGTATGGTTATTTTGTTGTGTATGATACACATTTGATTAGATTGATGGAATGCACTAAAGTAGGGGTATGCATTGCTGCATTATATGATTTCATATGTACACCTTCAGCTCTTCAAAACATTCCCTTTGAACCAATTCAGTATATCCCACTGGGGGATCTCACATGTAAGGTGGCCTTCTTGGTGGCCATTACCTTGTCAAGCATATCTCAAAAGTTGTTGGCTCTTCTTTGCAAGGAGCATTTTCTTGTCTTACATAAGGACAAAGGTGGCCCTGAGACTCAGACCCTCCTTCCCATGGTAGTCTCTTCCTTTCACCTGAATGAGGATATTGTCCTTCATTCCCTAGGTATTACTCTGAAACATGCTAAGAGATATCACTTCATTGCCTGAATGTAGTCACAGGGCTTAGGGTCTACCTAGGTGCAACATTTTCTTTCACCTCAAGAAAGGGGTTCTTTACTTCTCTGTCATAGCCTATTCCACCAATTTGGTCAGGTTTCTTGGGCCTTTCAGCATCAAGCATTTGTTTTGCAGGTTTGCAAGGCTGCCAACCTGGTCTTATATTTATACTTTCTCAAAGTTTTATAGGGTGGATGTTCAGGCCTCAGATGACAGCTCGGAAGCACCTTGCAGCCAAAGCTTGTACCAGCAGAGTGTTTTGGGTCAGTTGACCCTTCTTTTTGTGGCCTGTTTGCTATGTTGCTGCCCACCCCCCAGTTTATTGCTTGGGGACGTCCCATGGTCTTACTTTCTGTCCAGTACTGTATGATTAAGATAATATGAATTGTGACTTATCAGTAAATGCCATATCTTGGAATAAAGTACAGGACATTCCTTATTGCTTGGTACAAAACTGGAGTCCCATGGTGTGGATGAGGTTACCGTATTTTTCACTACATAAGACGCACTTTTTCCCCCCCCAAAAAAATGGGGGAAAATGTCTGTGTGTCTTATGGAGCAGCCAGCCCGGTACTCCTGCCGCCGTGTTAGAATACCAGGATGGCTGCTCGGCTCTTCTGTGTTTCTCGGACCTACCTGTTCCTCGGTCCAGCGCTGTCCTCAGCGTCTTTTCTCCCCAGTAACAGCATCTTTACTGTGGGCACCCGGCTGTGACAGCTTGCAGTTTCACAGCCGGGTTCCCCGCTGCGCATGCGTGAGAAGCGCTGCGCTTTGTGAATGGACCGGCAGTCTTCTGGGACCTGTCACGTGTCCCAGAAGACTGCAGGGGGGAGGACAATTTTGCAGAAGTGGGAGCAGGTACCTGTCAAATTCAGGTACCCGCCCCCCCCCCCCCCAAAGGTCCGCAGTCTCTGGTCATCCCCTGTACCATTTCCGCAGTCTCTGGTCATCCTCTTTACCGTGTCCTCCGTCTCTGGTCATTTCCTGTACTATGTCTTCTGCAGTCCATTGGTTCAGAATATTTTTTTTTCTCTTCTAAAACCTATGTGCGTCTTATGGAGCGAAAAATACGGTATATGAGGAGGCATGGGATATTTCCAGCAAATTTTTGCCAGTGTCCAATCACCCAAAGGTAGCAGCATATAACCCATGGTCTATGACTTCTTGCCCTGTACTATACTCCAAAATATGAAATTTAGTGGTAAATATAAATTATAATTTTTCAGGCTATTTTTTTTTATTTTAATTTTAGTGATCTTGGCAGAGAATTATTTTTCAATTAATAAATGGTTACATACTGTTTACTTCACTATAATATTTTTGCGTTGGATGTCTCTGTCTTTTTGTTTGTCTACATGATCCCGGAGCTTACCCCTCTGGTCATCTAGCATCATTGGATCTTTGCAACTTACAAGAAATGCTGGTTTTATAGGTTTACCTGTACTCAATTAGCAGGGCTTCCATACAGTGAATTTTTGTCTAGTTCATGTCCATTAGGAAGCACTATTGCAAGCCTCATTGACTATAGGAATAGTGGCATTTAACTGGAACTAGGGTTGAGTGCCTGTTTTATCTTTTTCTTTCATATTGCCAGAGAATACTAACTGTACCATATCTGTGGACAGGACCACTGAACACATACCCCTCTTATCTATAACATAGTAAGGGAAAGGTGTTATGTAGTCCACAAAATGAGCTGGGAACAGTGTAATTAATATGTCAGCAGAGCCAGATAGTAAAGACCTGACCAGATTTCTGGCAGGATTAACAGGGTTGCACTCTGACCCTTTGGTCATTTTAACATTATTGCTACACCTGGGCTGGACCGTGTTTAGCACCCAGTTCCGTAAAAAAAAAAAAAAAAAGGTATACAGAAGCCACAGGTTCAGAGTGCAGCTCTTTCTTTGTATATGCACTGTGTTTTGTTGAGGTATGTGGTTTTTTTTTTTTTTTAGAAGATACAACAAAATACTTTCAGTTCTATACAGGTATTTAACAGACCAAAAGGGAGCAAATTAGAGAGGAGTTAGTTTTCACACACTTTGAACATTTTAAATAGAGTAGGGAATAGTTAATTTTAGGGCTTGTTCACACTAGCTCTGCTGAGCTTTCTTGATCTGCATAGATTAGTGCAAGGGCACATAGAAAGCTGTTGGGTGTAAAAATGCAGCAATGTTTGCATTTTTTATGCAGCTCACTTCAGTGTGTCAAAGCAGTCATGTGATTTGTTGAAAATTACTGCCCTACACAATGTACACTAGCATGCAGGGCATGTGAACTGGTGTGAAAATCCCTGAAAGTGAAGCTGTACTTTGAGAACCATACCCGAACTTGCTTTTTTTTTTTAAGAAATGTTTGGAAAACTGTTGTCTGCCTTGTTCTAATATTTTGTCATTTTCTTAACAGTTCCTGAGCACTCTTTTTGCACCCTTAAACTTTGTCATGGAGAAAGTGGAAAGCATACTTCCTTCCAGTTTGTGGCACCAACTTACTCGAATCTGATCCTTTTGCAGCACTACAGGATGAACCCAACAACTCAGCTGCCCACAACAAAGCATGACTAACAGAAGACCAGTTACTTAAAAAGAATAGACTGTTCTCAGAAACAAATTGTTTTTGTTGTTAATGGGAAAACATGATGTTCATTTATGCTATATTTTGCCTTCAGGAGCAGAAAACAATCCTTTAAAATAAAAATTTTGTGTATGGCAGCAACATGTTTTAATTTAATTTTTTAATGTGGTAATTTATCATCACCATACAAATATTTTGGTGACAGGCCAATCTAATAATTTTAGTCCAATTCCTACAGAAGATAATGCTGTATATCCTGCTAACATTACCACTGACTAGAAGCTCATTCTTGCGGTTGAACAGAAAAAGAAACTGTTTTAGTGTGAGAGTAATAGGAGGACTAAGAACTAAACATCATATACCATGCAACTTCTGGAAGGCCACAACGTTCTCTGCCCAGTGACCTGTAACTCTGAAGAATCGGCTATGATAATATACACTGCTCAAAAAAATTAAAGGAACACTTTGAAAACACATTAGATCTCAATGGGGAAAAATATCATGCTGGATATCTATACTGATATGGACTGGATAATGTGTTAGGAATGTAAGAATGCCCCATCGTTTGAATTCAGTCCTCTATAGGTTGATAAGTTTTATTTTCGGGTGTCTTTGATTGAAATTAAAGTGAAAAAATGATGCAGCAGGCTAGTCCATTTTGCTGAAAGTTCATTGCAGAAAATCAAAATGGTACACAATAGTTTGTATGGCCCCCATGTGCTTGTATGCAACTCTGATCACGTCGGGCATTCTCCTAATGAGACGACAGATGGTGTCCTGGGGTATTTCCTCGCAGATCTGGACCAGGGCAGTTTGAGGTGCAATCTGGTGGTGACGGATGGACCAAAACATACTCATCTTTTCTGACTGTTTTTGGCTAGAGTCAGTGTCACTACTGGTAGCATGAGAAAATTCCTGGACCCTACAGAGGTTGCACAGGAGGCAGTCCAACTCCTCCAGGATGGCACATCAATATGTACCATTGCCAAAAAGGTTTGCTGTCTCCCAGCACAGTCTCAAGAGTATGGAGAAGATTCCAGGAAACAGGCAGTTACTCTAGGAGTGAATAGAAGCGGTGCATACATTTCATACTACTATCATTAAAACATCAATTATCATTCATATATTGTGTCATTCTTTGTCTTCACCATTATTGCTGTAACCAAAAAATACATAAATGAATAAAATTATAATTAAAATTATAAAACAACTTGGTGAATATGACACAAAATTGTGACAGCACATTTCCCGTGACCAAAAATGTATATAAAAACAAAGTCCCGTGATTGAAAAGAAATTAAAGTCCAGTGTTGAAATTAATTCATAAGGAAGAAATTAAAGTCCAGTGTTGAAATGTATTCATGTGACATAAAAAACATGAAAGTGTTGAAACTGTGCTTAGCCCATCATGCACCCCCATTCAGGGTGTGACAGCACGTCAGACCGGAAGTGATGTAGATCCGTAACTGGAAGTGACATGACGGCGTTCTGTCCGACAGTTCCGGAGGTAGTGAGAGCACCATGCGGTATCTGCGTGACACTAGGATTGATCATTGGGCTCGTTGATGTTTTTAATGTTGTAAGTGCATTACTTGGAGCAAATAGTCATTTATCTTGGGTAATATACTATTGGAGCGGATATTTTTCTTCTCTTTCCATGATATGGTGGAGTGGGGTTTTTCAATTATCCTAGCAACCAATCTTCGAAGGGTGATTCTTGGAGGAACCTCCTGGTCTAATTAATGTATATACTCTTGATTATGCTTTAAAAAAGCCAATTTCTGGTGAGCGCACACCTGAGTGGGAGTGCATGGTGGGCTCAGCACAGAGTTTCAACACTTTCATGTTTTTTTACATCACATGAATTAATTTCAACACTGGACTTTAATTTCTTCTTTATGAATTCACTTAAGCACTGGACTTTAATTTCTTTTCTAGCACGGGACTTTTTTTTGAGTTTTTATATATATATATTTTTTTGGTCACGGGAGATGTGGACTGTCACAATTTTGTGTAATATTCACTAACTTGTTTTATAATTTTATTTAATTATAATTGTATTAATTTATGTATTTTTTTGTTACGGCAATAATGGTGAAGACAAAGAACGACACAATATATGAATGATAATTGATGTTTAATGATAGCATTATGAAATGTATGCACCGCTTGTATTCACTGGATTAGGGGTGATACTAATATTTTTTTATTTTTGAGGTAGAGTATAGTGGCAGCAATATATATATATTGTATTTAGAAGTTAATTATCTGCATCAGGCACAATATAGTGACATTTGGATAACAGTTTTAAGGTGGTCACTTACAGAATATAGTTACTCTAGGAAAGCTAGACAGGGCCTTAGAAATTCCTTATACCATCAGCAGGACCGGTATCTGCTCCTTTGTGCAAGGAGGAACAGAATGGGCACTGCCAGAGCCCTACAAAATGACCTCCAGCAGGCCACTAGTGTGAATGTCTCTGACCAAACAATCAGAAACAGACTTCATGAGGGTGGCCTGAGGGCCCGATGTCCTCAATGCCTGACATCATAGAGCTTAATTGACATTTGCTATTGAACACCAGAATTGGCAGGTCTGCCACTGGTGCCCTGTGCTTTTCACAGATGACAGTAGGTTCACCCTGAGCACGTGACAGACGTGAAAGGGTGTGGAGAAGCCATGGAGAACATTATGCTGCCTGTAACATCGTTCAGCATAACTGTTTTGGTGGTGGGTCAGTGCTAGTCTGGGGAGGTAAATCCATGGAAGGACGCACAGACCTCTACAGGCTAGACAATGGCACCCTGACTGCCATTAGGTATCAGGATGAAATCTTTGGACCCACTATCAGACCCTACGCTGGTGCAGTGGGCCCTGGTGCACGACAATGCCTGGCCTCATGTAGCGAGAGTATGCAGGCAGTTCCTGGAGGATGAAGAAGTGATACCATTGAATGGGCCCCCATGCTCCCCTGACCTAAATCCAATAGAATACCTCTGGGATATCATGTGTGTTCCATCCGATGCTGCCAGGTTGCGCCTCAAACTGTCCAGGAGCTCAGTGATGCCCTGGTCCAGATCTGGGAAGAAATACCCCAAGACATCATCCATCATCTCATTAAGAGCATGCCCTGGCATTGTCAGGAATGCATACAAGCATGTGGGGGCCATGCAAACTACAGAGTACCATTCTGAGTTGGTGCAATTAAATTTCAGGAAAATGGACTAGCCTAATGCATTGTTTTTTTCATTTTGATGGAAATGAATATTATCAACCTACAGCGGACTGAATTCAAAGACACCCCGAAAATCAAATGATGGGGCATCCTTACGTTCCTAACATATTACCCAGTCCATATCAGTATAGATATCCAGCATGATATTTTTTTTTTTTTCCCCATTGAGATCTGATGTTGTTTCAAAGTGTTCCTTTAATTTTTTTGAGGTGTGTGTTCATAAGGTATGCAGACCCCCTTCTCTTTTTTTTCAATTTTGTTGCAGCCTGATACCACAGTTGTTTAAATTCATTCTTTTTCTCATTAATCTACACTCAGTACCACATAAAGATAAAGTGAAAACAGAATTTTAGAAAGTGGGTAGGTAGCAGTGACCATAACATGATTTAATTAGTTAGCTGTAAACCGCAAGCACATACGGGAAAAATAAAACCGCTCAATTTCAAGAGAGCTAATTTTCCAACGCTCAGAGCTACTCTCCAAGACTTAGACTGGGAGGGAATATTGGCATTGATGAACACAACACAGAAATGGGAGTTTTTCAAAAAGACTGTATGTGAACACACTGCAAAATACAGTCAGGTCCAGAAATATTGGGACATCAACACAATTCTAACATTTTTGGCTCTATACACCACCACAATGGATTTGAAATTAAATGAACAAGATGTGCTTTATTTACAGCCTGTCAGCTTTAATTTGAGGGTATTTACATCCAAATTAGGTGAACGGTGTAGGAATTACAACAGTTTGCATATGTGCCTCCCACTTGTTAAGGGACCAAAAGTAATGGGACAGAGAAATAATCATAAATCAAACTTTCACTTTTTAATACTTGGTTGCAAATCCTTTGCAGTCAATTACAGCCTGAAGTCTGGAACGCATAGACATCACCAGACGCTGGGTTTCATCCCTGGTGATGCTCTGCCAGGCCTCTACTGCAACTGCCTTCAGTTCCTGCTTGTTCTTGGGGCATTTTCCCTTCAGTTTTGTCTTCAGCAAGTGAAATGCATGCTCAATCGGATTCAGGTTAGGTGACTCACTTGGCCACTGCATAACATTCCACTTCTTTCCCTTAAACTCTTTGGTTGCTTTTGCAGTATGCTTTGGATCATTGTCCATCTGCACTGTGAAGCGGCGTCCAGTGAGTTCTGAAGCATTTGGCTGAATATGAGCAGATAATATTGCCCGAAACACTTCAGAATTCATCCTACTGCTTTTGTCAGCAGTCACATCAATAAATACAAGAGAACCAGTTCCATTGGCAGCCATACATGCCCACGCCATGACACTACCACCACCATGCTTCACTGATGAGGTGGTATGCTTAGGATCATGAGCAGTTCCTTTCCTTCTCCATACTCTTCTCTTCCCATCACTCTGGTACAAGTTGATCTTGGTCTCATCTGGTACATAGGATGTTGTTCCAGAACTGTGAAGGCTTTTTTAGATGTCGTTTGGCAAACTCTAATCTGGCCTTCCTGTTTTTGAGGCTCACCAATGGTTTACATCTTGTAGTGAAACCTCTGTATTCACGCTGGTGAAGTATTCTCTTGATTGTTGACTTTGACACACATACACCTACCTCCTAGAGAGTGTTCTTGATCTGGCCAACTGTTGTGAAGGGTGTTTTCTTCACCAGGGAAAGAATTCTTCAGTCATCCACCACAGTTGTTTTCCGTGGTCTTCCCAG